TTTTCTTATTTGCGGTTTTTCAAATGAAAGCAAATCTCATATCTACTAAGTGTTTATAATGTGAAATATGCGGAATTACACTGAAAACATTTGTTCAAACAACTAGGGTATAATTACTGGATAACTCTTAATTATGTCAAATTATCACTATCCTTTGACAAAAGGGAGGCTCTGCAAGCAGGCTTATACAATACACTGGTCATTCATTGACATCTGATTAAACTGATAATCACTCTGAAATGCAGTCAGTGTGGAGGAGGTCCCTCTGTCGGTGGATAAAGGGAGTGGTCTAATAACGGTGTGGGGAGGGGGGGCTTTCTAAACGAGGCACACGCGGCCATGGACAAAAACACACCACTCCGGATCATCGGTGACAAAAACAACGAAGCAGTACCTACAATACATCCCACAATTACCAAAACAAGCCAGAAGCTGTCCTTGCAGCACATGGCCTGATAAGCAAACAATGTGACAATGTGGTTCAAATTACCATATAGAGACATTACTGTTACTGTTAGTTAATACGAATAAAAGCAGCGCACTGCATTATGCTCCACCCTCCATTATTCACTCATTCAATTGCGCAATAAAAATATTTGCATTCACTCAGTCACTCCAGCTGTATTTACTCATTCATTCCTTCACTCGGTCATCTCTTTACACCCGCCCTCCCTCTTTCTATAATGCACGTGTCCTCTGTAGTACTCACCCTCTCATCCGTACTCCCTCCCTCTTCAGTGAAAAAAATCCACTCACTCCTTCATTCCTCCCTCCCTCCCTTTTTTCACTCATTCAATCCCTCCCGGCTCACGATACTCACCCACCCTCCCTTTAAAACACCAACAAACTAAACATCAACTCAGTGTGAGGACACAGCTGGAGATACAGTAGAGTGGAGTAGAGATATTTTCCTCTCTAAATTAAACTTTATTTTTATTATTTGCACTATTTATCACCCACAAAAAATATTTTAAAAACTCTGGTAGGATATAAAGGTAATTAGGCATAATGTTATTTTAACTAAAGTTCATTGATTCTACACTCCACTCTGCACTGTGAGGACCCCCCACTCCCCTGGTGTTTTTTTTGCACCATAGATGTGGATGAGTACAGAAAAATGGTTATTATCTGAAAAAATAGAGTCCATTACTAAGATTACCATGTCAAAAAAGTCGAGAAAAACACTACTCCAGTGGATGTGACTTTCATATAGGAATCAAAATGGCGTTGCAGGGAGGGACATCAGACCTGCTATTAAAATAAGGAATAACACAGTAGAATTAGGCTAAAGTTAGTCAATTTTGAGTTTTTTGAAGGTCAGCACCAACACCATAGACCCTCATAAAAATGGGGAAAGCCAAATGTGAACGCTGTTATTGAGTGAGCTGTGATGCGCCAGTTCCTGAACAAAAGAAAGCCATCATTGCGCCCTATATTAAAAGGACTCTGCTTTCGGATGCGGTCCCCCTCACAGCTGGACACACAGCAGCCACTTACACCCCTATTAAAAATATTCTGATCAATTTTAAGATCCAATATTCGAGTCCCTGATCTTTGGAGGTGTTGGCAACTTTCCTGACAATGGAGCTCGAGTGGCGACTGCCATAGTGACGGTTATAAGCAATTCTGTCCAAATAACAGCAAACACAGCAAACCCATCCACCGTATTTCAACCTATATAAAGCCACATTATCATCCCAAGTGTCCCCTGTCACTTAGGTGTCGTGACATTTAATTTATAGGAGGTTTAACAGCAAATAATCTCAACCACGTCACTCAAAGTCAATGGCCGGACTGTGTTAGTTGGGAAAATGTATCGATGTATTAAAAGCAAAAACGAAGACGGAATCCGACCGAAGTACGTGCATCCGTTTGAGCATAGATACAATTTCGATATGCATTGGATGATTTGGCCCGAGGTTCCGTCTGTTTGGGTCAATTTAACGCGAATTGTGCAAAATTGTTCACAGCCCGCGTTACTTCCAGCGGGTTTTCCTGGAATAAAAGTTGTTCGCCGGCGCGGATGAATACGGAAAAGTGGTTCGGCGTGAAGCCCAATGTCTCTGCTATCAGCCCATAATGTTTTGTGTGTCAATATTCAGCCGTAGCTTTTATATTTGCCAGAAGTTGGAGGATGAAGAAACACAAACGGGACGGCGCCAGTTCCATGGAGTCCGCTAGATCAGCTGCTGGCAGTTGGTGTTCTCAATCACGTCCGCAGATAGGCTTCATAGGCTCATCGAGGCGCCTGTGGAATAAGACACTTAAGAGATCCCGGCTACTGACACGTCACTTTGTGTGGACAATAATTATACCGTTTTTTTATTGTAAGGGGGGCAATTGTCTGCCAACTCGGACTTTCTAAGGGAAAGCTTTTATTTCTGGCTGCGTTTATTTCTCCGTTTCTGACGCTCCAGCTGAGCAGGGTGAAATTACACCCCCTGGACTTTCTTTCTGTTTGTTAACCAACTCCAAAGAAAAAGTCACCATGGCAGAAACGTCGTCAACTCCAGCCAAATCCAAAAAGACAGCCAAGCCTAAGAAACCTGTGTCTCATCCTAAGTACTCGGACATGATTAAAGCGGCCGTCGTGAACGACGCCAGCCGGAGTGGCGCGTCCCGGCAGTCCATCCAGAAGTACGTGAGGAAGACCTACAAGGTGGGCGAAAACGCCGATGTGCAGATCAAGATGGCCCTGAAGAGGATGGTGGCAGCCGGGACTGTGCGCCATACCAGAGGCGTCGGTGCGTCCGGATCCTTCAGGCTGACCAAACCAGAGGACTCCAAGAAGTCCACCATGGTAGCAGCACCTGCCAAACCAAAGAAGGCAGTGAAGGCAGCCAAACCCAAGAAGGCAGCCAAGCCCAAGAAGGTGGCCAAGACACCGGAGAAAATCAAGAAGGCAGCTCCAAAGAAAGTGAAAAAGGTGGTGAAAAAGGCGACGCCAGTGAAAGCCAAAAAGGCACCAGCTAAGAAGGCAAAGGCACCCAAACCCAAGGCGAAACCAGTCAAGAGGGTCGCCAAGCCCAAGGCAAAAACACCCAAAAAGGCAGCCAAAACAGCGAAAAAGAAGTAAAGGACACTATTATAAAGTCACTGTAAATACTTAAGGAAATGTTTTCGTATATGTATTATTTTTGTAAGGTCTCATGAAAACTTATGCTGTTTATACCAGTAGTTCTCTTCATTGCACTATACACGCTGTAGAATTAATGTTGAGCGTTTTTATTTGGCGTTAATAATAAGGTTAATTTCTGTCTGATCCTTGGAGACAAAAAGGCTAGACTGGGGTCTGCCTGAAGAGGAAGAACATGTACATACAGCTGAACTTATGAATAGTTATTGTTAGTGCACGGGGTCATACTGAAAAAACAAATGTGACAATGGTGATCATTGTTGAGCCTTTACAATGTGCAGACCACAGGCAGTGGACGTCAGCTAGATTTTCTTTTAAAGGCTCTATAGTTGTCATTCAATCTCCATTCTGTATATTTCCTCATGTTCGGACGACTCCTACTCTACCAACATCCCACTGTGATCAGTCACTTTTAAAGACTGTTTATACTGTAATTCAATAAACCTTTGTCATCTTCTACAACATGTGTGGGTCTACTTATTGTGCGCATTTTACGCGTGCGTAATTACACTTAGGATGGAGGGATTTGTGCGCATATCAAAGACTAGTATTTGTAATACATTTAACAGGCACAACGTTGATTCCTACGTTTTGATAAAAATACGTTATCTAAGACATAACACATTTAGCCACGTGCAAGAAATTAGTTATTGTTCATCAAAGTGATGCAACAAACCCCCTTATGGAGCCTCAGATGAGGGATTATATTGCATTGCTGAGGCAGGATGGACATACACAAAATAAAGACAGGTGGTGAAGACTGAAAGGTATTATGTTATAAGTTAGACTTTAGTGTTAACTGCTTAACAACCTAGTCCTGAGGGCAGGGATGGACTTTCTAGGACACTTTGTGATACGAAGTGAACGCTTGTATACCATAGAGAATCGGTTGGGAAGCAAAAGTGCACAGGAATAAAGTCCCTTAAGGGAATAAATCCGTAGTAAACAAGGCCAAGAGATGGACAAGAACGCAGATCTCTGAAAAAAAGGTAAAAACATTAAGTGCAAAAACTGCCCTAAATAGAGGAAATTAAGGTGCATTTTTTATAGTGTTTTACACCCTGGTTGTTCTTGAATATAAAAATACACTCAAAATCTAAACATCCTCCTTCCACAGAGTGAGGAGGAGGCTTTGTAGACACACCCAGCCATCAGTTCCCTGCCTCTCACCTGAATGACATGCAACACTGCCATCTTGTGGTGTCTTTTGGGAACAGCCGACTCCTCTCCACTGCAGTTGGGACCAGCACACAGACAGACTGGAGTCAAACTGATGAAAGTCAAGATGACAGAGACAAATTACCCTCTGTACAGTGTTAGTCATTGTGTCTTCTTTATACAGGTGTAAAATGTTAAAACACCTTGTTGAAGTGACCTAACTGGAACATCCGGATGCCAAGAGAAGCGGTCTTCGTCTGTTGACATCCCATGTGGAGAAGTAGTAGTTGTTGCTTCAACACACAGTAATCCAACATAATATTTTTATAGCACAGCAGAAAAACAACTTAAGAAACAAGGGTTTTGCGATTAAGATTTATCTGGAACAATAACAATACTCAAATAGCCTATAGGTGTTTAGAACAAAATTGATCCGTTAGCATCACTTTAAACGAGTAATGCCTCATTAGCATGGCACACACACATTAAAGAAAAAAAAAAGTGCACTGTCAAGTTTTCGAAGTCTGATAATAGTGTATAAATGCTGGAAAAAAAAAAAAAAATACAAAACAAAATCCAGTTAGAATGTATCAGCCATTACAATTAGCTGCTAGGAATTAAAAAACTGAATTTGTGGTAAAAAGAAAGCACCAAATGTCAGGCATTTTAACTTAAAGCACAGCAATCACCTTCCATCCAACATCCATAACGTCTTTTGGGTAAAAGGTCCCACCCAGTCTAATCTGGTCTTTTATTAAGCATCTCAAATCAGTTCAATTTCAGTAAGAAAAACAGCCATATTTTAAAAGTCACAGAAGCGGATTCTGCAGAAACAGCAGGTCCCCAGCTGAACTGAGCAAGAGAACGTACATAACATGACTGACTCATGTCGGAAAACAATGCAATGGCGGATTATGTAACAAGGTCAAAGTGAATGCACAGTGTCAGGTGTGTGTGAATAGAATAAAATCACAGATCATCACGCTATTTCAGTCTATCAAAATCAACCATTTCAATATGAACAGAAGGAAGCTGATTGGAAGCAGAGATTAATTCAACCAGGTTTTTTCGTTTAACATTTTGTAATTTTTAAAGGTTTGCTTGTCTCCTTATGAGAATATATTTTCGGACCATTCTCCTCATGCACATTTCTTCCTCATCACTGGAGGCCTTACTGCTAAACACTTTAAAATGTTTCATTCATAGGCAAAAATAATATGCCTTGGAGCTAATAACATGCTATGACTTGTCATTGCTGCTGGAGTCATTTGGCAAATCAGATTTGAACATTTAGTATCAGAGGGAAGAGTGTGAGTTCATTGGCGGAGATTGAGTGGCAGCCAATCAGAATGCTAGGTTAAAATGCTCCATGTGTTGCCCTTTGGTTCTTCAGTCTAGTCAATTTGGCATTTTTGTATATTATACTTAATAAACACTGCATGTACATAAAAACCTCTCCAATCTCACCATTAACATTTCACATATAATTGAGGGGAAAGCAATAGATGAAATAACTGTTTTCCTGCATTTCCTCCTCTCTGATAAAGCACCTGATGTGAACAGTTCTTTGTGTATCAATGCACCGAGGTTAGCTCCTACTTAACCTGGTTGGGCAACGTGAGGCGAAAAAAGCAGCGAGGGCAATAATATGACCACTATTTTCCTATTGATTTTGTTGTGATCACCTGACTCAGAGGGTAGGATAAGGTAAAGAAGAGCAGAGATATGACGAGTTTCCTGGGAGGCTTGCAGGTGAAAAGTAAAATGATGTGACTCTGGTCTCTGAGGTTTGGTCTTGATGGATGGATGGAGCGTCAGCTGGTTGTTGATCATTTCAGTCTGGCCACGGCTCTGTAGATGGCAAAGCCCAGAACTGCAACCACAGCCGAGCCCAGCGCCACTCTCAGCCAGTACGACGTGTTGCTCATGTCTGAACCATTCAGGTGTCTGGAGATGGGAGGGAGAAATCATTAGCGGTACGAAGCAACAGCTGATACCATGAGAACAACACATCTAGCTTCTCTACCACATGAACCTTTAATCACTAAATGTATGAAACCACATTTGCATGTAACTCATCTGTATATGTTACACGTTTTCAAGGATGTCCTCAACAAGGCCTGGGACCCTCAGACTCTTTATTCCTCCCAAAGACACAATGCATTACATTAAGGCACATTGTGAGCCATGTCCCTTACAACCTTACTATTATATATATTGCACAATTTTGTAAAATACTATAATATTAGCAAATTGCACAGCTTTTCTACTTCAAATTCTAGTACAGTGCACATATTCTATATCAGTGGTTCTCAACTGGTGGGTCGCGGATGTATGAGTGAAGAAAAAAAAGTTGAAAAAAAAATTGCAATTTTTTTTTTTTTTTTTTTGGGAAAAAATGCAAACTTTTATTTTGAAGGACCGATTTTCTAACGCTGTGCATTCAGTAGGCGTTGGACTGGAAGTACCGGAGACCATAAATGGTTTTGAAAACTTCTGTCACGTAGTGATCATCTTCTCAATAAAACATCTCTGCTGATGTTTTTTCGAGTCTTCTGGCCAATCAGAATCAAGATTGTTGGCGGAAGTCCCCACGGAGAATAACTGAGGTAGAACTATTCTTTATACATCCATGGGTACAACTTCAGATAAAAATGAACACATAATGAAATATGACCCCCGGTTTGATGATTGACAGGTCACAGAACAATGGGAGCTATCTACCCTTACCCACAATTTAAAGTAAATCACACAGACTATCTCCTCTTCTCGCAGCAAGATGTCAGAACTAAGTGAAAAACAAACAATGGCATAAAATATTATTAATATGTCGGGTAGTAATAGATTTATTTATTTTCTTCTCAGAGTGTACCAGAATGCGTAGTTTATGTTAGTATTTTTAAAAATCTCCTGGGGGAGAATCCCCCCAGACCCCCTTCTGGGGTTGGGTTTTCAGCATGTGTGCCTTTTTATATAGTTCAGCTTTGATTCCATCATCTCATTAAACCTTGTTTAAAAGCATACTTTAGTTCTGTGAAGGGATATATGCACTGTACTTCACTTTTATTAATATTGTATTCTGAAAAGCGTATATATATTACAGCACGATTTTTTGTTGAATAGATTTGAGTGCTTCAAAATGTTGGGTCGCGATGTATTGACCAAGTAAAAAGTGGGTCCCGAGGCCTGACCAGTTGAGAACCACTGTTCTATATTATTATTTATGGTAATTTGTCATATTCTTGTTATACTAACTTTCTTGTGAACAATATATATTTTTTTATTTGTATGATAGTTGTTATAATACTTCTATATCTACTTATTTTACAACTTTATTACTCTTCCTCTGTTTACGCACCATTACACACCAAAACAAATTCTTTGTATGTGTCAAATTTGGCAATAAACCATTTTGATTCTGATGTCACATTTATCTCAAGATCAGTAGTTTGTGTGTGGACGACGTACGGATATACTGCTGCCCACGCCAGCCGGGAGTAGATGGTCTTGCTGGTGGAGTCGAGGAACAGGCTGGAGAAGGGCAGCGGGGGAGGCAGCTGGTGTTTATAACAGAACTCGGCCGGAGTCATCCCGTGGAACTGCTTGACTTCAGGAAGGTCCACCTTGGAGGCGACCAGCACACATGGGATGTTGCTCTCCATGTAGTGTTGCTGAGTAACACATTGGATAAAGAGGTAAAGCTCAGTTGTGAAAGAAAAAATAAATGTTTAAATAATGAATGTCAAGTAAAGCTTATTGCAATGCGTAATAAATGTATACAAACTGAAGAAAAATCAGATTTATAATAACACAGATCTTTCAAAGTTGGAAAGGTTACAGTAACGGCCCGTCCACACGGCAGCGTGCGTTGCTTCAACGGAGACGCTTCCCATTCACTTTGAATGGGGTGACGTCAGGCTTTGCCGAACTGCATTGTGGTTCCGTCGCTTTGCCTCCGTTGCTCGCTTCGAAAGTTGAGAAAAGTTCAACTTTTCAAGCGTCGACGGAAGCGTCAGCCAATCGAATCATATGCCAGTACAAGCACTAGCCAATCAAACCGTGTGCTTGTGTGTCTGGGGTGGGAGATTAATGTGATTGGTTGTTGGTCGCGCGCCAGACACGCCCACCGGCAAGCTTCAACGCACGCTGCCGTGTGGACGTACCGTTAGTACGTGTTTATTTAGTTGAATTAAATAGTGGAGACATCCATTTCTTCCTGTGTCAAGTATCAGTAATAAAGTGAAAACAAATGGTTTTGATTATAAAAAAAAAGGTTTATGTAAACAAAGCACCATGAAATTAGAATAAATAGCAGGCAAATAAAATCATTTTAATTTTCATTCCATCATTTGTTTAAGTTAGAATACAGTATATCTTACACATACAATTTCATACTCACCAGAATCAGCTATTTTAATTAAAGTCAGTGTTAGAAACTGCTAAAGGGAAGCAAAGTGAGCTGTAATAATGCTTTTATTAGCAAAACAAACTGTGTGAAAAGACCAGCACACACTGATGGGCAGCCTATCTAAACGGCACACATTTAAACCTTCTAAATAATATTTCCAGCAATGTCAGTGGAACTGTTGTGACTGACCTTGTATATACTGGCACAATAGTCGAAGGAATGTGGGTCACTGGCGTCATACATGAGACAAGCGACATCACAAGAGGCGTCCGATGCCTTCAGGAACTCCACCTCCACATCCACCTCATTGAGCTGCATAAAGAGAAGAGTGTAGGTCACAGTCCTTAGTCAGGGTCAGAGGAGAAGGGTCAGCATTAGGATTAGGATGGAAGGTACTTACGATGAGGTACTTCTCTTGGTTGCTGACTTGGATAGTGTTTATTGCATAGGGGGAGAAGGCACTGCTGGGATTTCCCTTATTCTGTAGAAGGCAAAAGAGAGAGAAAAAACCAACAACAAACAGTCACTTTTTAGCCTCAAGAATGTTGACGAGTGCAGATTTAATATTTTATTCTCTCCAGACTAGCAGATGGTTTCATACCTCAACGCTGCGACCCACAAAGGCCTGCAGGAAGGCCGTCTTTCCTGTCCCCTGCGGTCCAATCACCTTGCAGAGAAAAACTGACCGCTGTGTCTGGTGCTTCTCCAGTTCCACCTCTTTGTCCTGTGTAACTGCACATGTAAACAAGCACAAACACTAGATATAAGTACTAGGGATGCTCCATATCGGCCGATACACACTCTCTGCCGATCGATCGGTGCTCTCTAAAAATGCCGATCACGAGAGCCGATCGCATGATGTAAAATACATGACACTTTTCTCTGTGAGCGGCAAAACAAGCTCGCCAAAATGGCTTCACCAGTCTGGCAGTATTTTAAGGTGTCGTGTAAATATATTTATTCTTCACTGTCGGGTCACTCATTACTGGATCAGTGAGCTGCATGAGACGATACTGACAGGCTGTAAGGAGAGGGAGAGAGAGGGAGAGAGAGCGATTCAGCTAATTTCTCCCGTGTTATTATCCAAAGTTAATGTAAACTTGAATAATGTACTTCATTTGAATGTAATAATTATGTTGGTTGTTGTTTGTGGAAGCGCCAGTGAATGAGCCCCATTAACTGAGTTTTAAACATCACTTTAAATGGAAGATCCCCATGCCCGCCCACTCGACCGGATCGGCCGATACTGATTCCAGCGATCGGCCCCAAAATTGGCGATCGGAGCATCCCTAATAAGTACTAACGCAAGAACACACAATTCTTCCACCTGTCATTTGTCAAGCTTTCACTGACCGTAAGGCAAAGTTAGAAAGATGGAAGTTGTCTAAATTACAATAGACAATATTTTATAAATAGACATTCCTATTAATAGGCCTGAGGTGGGAGGACGACCAGGCCAGAGAAGAGGATGCAATTCCTGCTCCCGCTTAGAAAAAACAACCTGCCATATGAGCTGTTTTTTTTTTAGCACTTCTACACACATCCAATGAGTCTGTTCCCTCCTGTTTAATCACCATGTGGTTTGTCTTGGCTGCCAAACAGAGCAGAGAGCCTACAGCCCAGCCTGCAGACAATATCACTTGTGCGGTGCTAACCAGTTTATCCTAGAAGATCTGCAGCTGTTGCACCTCAGATCTCTTGAAAAAAGCTTGTGGAAAAGTAAAAACAATAGAAAGAGGAATAAAAGTAATACAAAATGAAGAACAAGGTTGTTTCCCTCTTAACAGCTCCCTTATCAGTAACCCACATTATCTTCTATTCAAATGAATCTATTATTTACAAGAATATTAAATAATGAAAAGAGAGAAACGACATGTTTTGATCCCAAACACTAATGATACAAAAACTGTAGTATGGCCTGGGGTTACTGCCACAGGAAAGTTATATCAACAGCAATGATGGCTTGTAGGATAGCCATTTAGGATATGTGTTTCTCATCCGTCAAACTCAAACTTGAGAATTGTTCATCAGTCAAAACTGTACTTTGTTAGCCCCAGCTGTTTTGGCACCAGATGGAAAATCAGGAGTTTAAGAATTGAGTATTTCTTAGGTAATGAACATCTGCTCCAAACACTGTAGAAATCCATCCAACAGTTGTTGAGATGTTTCACTCAGGAACAAAACTGATAATCCAACTGACAGATGATTAGAGCAAGCATCTGAGAGAGCTACTGCTAGTATAGCTAAACATAATTCTATAGTAACAATTACCAACACAAATTCCTAATGAAAGGTTGGTTAAGCACCGAAACAGAGCACATGTTACAACTAGAAACTAGTCCCCTTGTTACAAGAGCTGTGTTAATCTCTGTGGCTTTCACCTGACATCTGTGGCCTCGCCTGACATCTAAAAGATACTCCCCTGAGACAGAATGTGTTTGATTAGCAGCACTGAGACATATTACATCACACTTTCCAAGCTGTCTTTACAAACTGGCTTCAGACTGACACTAGATCACACACAGCCTGCACAGAGACACCACTACCATATAAGAACAAAACAATTAAATCAGTAATCATTGTTCTTTTAGTTAATGCTTACACAAAACAAAATATATAATATGTGTGGAAAGTGCAATATATTTCAAACCATGCATGCATAAACGTGTGGACATACATGCAATTAACAACTGTTCCTTTACATCTCAAGGACGGATGTACAAGAATGTAAATCTATTAGGTGACAGCGGACAGGATTAAGAAGAGCAATCCTCTTACAGAAACGTATTTACCTGGAAAAGTGGTAATTACATTTTGCATTTCAACCTTTCTAATTGATATGCTGTTTGTGGGATTCCCTTCAGTTAAAAGACACAAACACACACCTGTGACAGCGGCAGTCTGGGACTCCTGCTCAGTGAGGATAGGGTAGCCTAGATATCCTAGATGCTCCAGGCAACGGTGGATGTCAAAGTACGCAGAGAGCCTGCATGTGAAGGGATTGACATACATGTGACCTTTGAACCAAAAAAGTGCAGAAAAGTGCAAAAGTAATGCATGCAATCTCATAAAAACCATTAACAATTGTGAGATACGTACGTCCACTGACAACGGTAGCCGTGGTTGGAGATGTAGCCCTCGTCTGTGGTGGGGACCGCCAGGTAGACCTCGGCCCCCCACGGCATGTAAGGACACACACAAAACAGGTTCCTAAGCTCAGCTGGGGACAGGGCTGAGTCTTTGTCCTGAGAGGGAAAACATGTATCTTTGTCAGAACAAGGAAACCTCCATTATTGAATGTGTAGAAAACTGATAGTAGTAACTTGATATTTACATATATTATAACATTTCCCACAGCATTTCACTGTGCAGTGGGATATTGTGACAGGCAGCTCGGATTCTTACTCACTTCATCATACTTGTCGAACTGCCGCTGGAGGAACTGGTAACCTAAAGGATTGAGCTCTGTGGTGCAGCCAACAGGAACTTGGATTCTTAAAAACATAATGAAGAACAAAATACTTGAATACCTCAGCATAAGGGACAAAAATGCACAAACATAAAAAAGTTAAAAGCAGGAGAAACACGGCAAATCTGATGAGAACGCAGGGACAGGTATATCTATTCTAAAATACTAATGCAGAACCACCTGTTGTAATGTTATAGTTATCACCAAAATATGTATTATCTGAATTGAAAGATACAGTAACGTAGTGTCAGTAAACATACTCAGGATAAAGGAAATCATCAGTGAGCTCCAGGTTGTCGTCATAACCAAACTTCCTGAGGATGGTCCACGTGGTTTCATGTCGGCCCCTCTGGATAAATAATGTGTTAAGGAACAAGAAACCTGAAAGAGAGGACATAGAATACATGGGAATTAGCTGAGTGTGACCTTGCAACAACTCTGTTTAAAGACACATGTTGTTATTCTTTTACCATTAAGGGTCAGGCCGTTGTCCTGCACCCCATCGCTGGTGTTCTTCCAAACAACAGTCTTCACGTCTTCTAAGGCTTGAGGTGCCAGAGGGTTCCCAAAACAGGATTTCTACAAATAAAGATGGATGGATTTTATTATATTTTGCGTCAAATAATAACTGAGAAGACCTTATGTTAATTAAGTGATTTAACTGGCTGACCTGAAAGCAGTTGAGTTCTGCGTCGCTGAGGATACGGTCATTGTCCTGGTCGGAGATGTAGAATATTCTGCTGAGGGCTCGGACACACAGGGGCTTCAGCTGCAGGAACATATTGGATGTTTTGATGTTGCATTATTCAACCAATCATTTGCATGCGCATATAAATGGAAAGAAGAGACACATGCTGACTCCATAGTTATATTACCAAATCCAAAATGTCTGACCTGTTTGTCCTCAGGGTCATAAAGAGGGGCAGTGGGGTGCAGAACCGCCTTCTGTGCATAGTAGAACAGCTCAGAAATGTTTTTTAAGTTCTTCGCAGAACACTTGAAGAGAAGAAAATAGGAGAAAGAACATTTAAGGTACAATTACATTTGCAATCTAGAGGTCATATTAAATGTGCACGTGTTCATATTTGTTTGAAGCCAAGCAGCCATGTGTGTATCTCGATGTTGAGGTCAGCAGGTGTGTACATGCTGCAGTGATTAGCCACTGTTCAGTCTCACCTCGACACACGTCTCAATCTCAGAGAACTGGTTCATGATGGGGAGAATGGTTTCCATCGAGCTCCCGCAGCGCAGATCAGACTTGTTCCCCACGAGGATGATGGGAACTCTAGAACATATGGAGACAGGGTAACGCTCAATATGAGATGCAGCGATCGCAGTCTGTCTAAGAACTATAATTGAAAGCGCACAAAAACTTGTATGTACATTTACTTTAATTTGGAAACACTATTAACCAACTATAATAATTTACAATTCTCCAAAACGGCACCAAGTTACAGGACTATCGCTCAATAAAACAAATTCTAAATGAAAGTGCTCCAGAAATATATATCATGCATGACATCATAATAATACAAATCAATAAATCTGTCAGCAATGCTCTCTTACAGAAACACTTCATTGATGAATGATTATTGCTCTTTTACAGCAGCAAATACAATAACCTTTCTTTGTGCATGAGAAAGTAACATTCAGTTTTCCCACACGGTGACTAAATGTGTGCAAATTACAAACTAATTAAGTCTTAAAGCACACTGCCAATGGGCTAAGGTGGGTGTTGCAGCGACATATAACCTGACCTTTTGTTTTTCAGTGGAGTGAAATAGTGGAAGTATGTTGCGTTATAAATATTATATTATCTATATATTATAAAAGGGGACTTAATGTCCTTTTTGGAGTTTTCCCTTCCCTGTAGTGTGTTATAATAGGTTTGTTTTGTGCATGTAAATGGTCTGCAAAGGCTAAGATCCCAAAGTTCCCTCCAGAGGAAGTCTTTTTAAGTGTATTTAAGTAGAAACACACACAAACACACTATTTATGAAAAAAAGAATTACAAAAATAAAACCACTAACAGGAAAGATGTGTGCTAGCAAAGAGGCGCGTTACCATTGATTCAAAGTATTTGAACCACAAAGATTTCTTTTTGCTTAAAAAAGTAATGAAATGCTAACATTCTGTCAGCCATAAAGGATGCATTCAGTTATTAAGTTTTGTCTATAAGCATCACAAATGTTATTTTTTGTTATTTTTTAAATGAACAAACTAAAGCCAAACAGTGACATCATCACGTGACATAACACCGGCTTTGGTTTTGTTTTGTATTGAATAGCAGACTCTCAGAGCTGCAGTCCCTCTTCATTCCAGATCGGTGAGCGTTCAGTTGGATCAGAGAAACCTTACAGTCTCCTACAGAAAACACACATCTCCACCCCAACACAAGTCTACAGACTGTGCCATGGATAGGAGAAGCTATTCAAACAACAGGTGTAATACCAGAGCAGATGACCACGAAAATACAGTGGAAGAATCCCTGAACAAGATCCACTGCAGAAATGGTAAGATATACGGCCTGGCTGATTTCCGCATTGCATATGATTGCGAGAAGATGACTTTTGCCCATAGGATGCGCAAAGAAAATGACATGGTGAAAAGTCTGGAAGAGGCTGCTTGGAAAAAGAAGTTTGAGAAAGAAGACCTGGCTCTTAAACAGAGCAGGGAGAAGAGAGAGCTTGAGGAAAAGTTCTCAAAGATGGAGATGAAACTGAAAGAGGTGGAGAAGGAGAAAAATGACCTGGCTGAAAAACACCTGAGCTCCGAAAATGTGGTCAAACAGTTGGTAGACCAGTTGAAACAACAGGAGGAAAAGTTTTTCAAGAACAAACCCCAGAGCTTGGAGACTGAGCCTACAAAGCTGGAGATCAAATTGAAACGGGTGATGAACAAAAATATCCGCCTGGCCAAAAAGAACAAAAGCTTGGAGACAGAAGTCAAAGTGTTGAAAGACGACAGGCAGGAGCAGGAAGAAAGGGTCAACAAAGACCTGGCCGATCGACACCAGAGCTGGGAGACTGAGCTAAAGCAGGAGATGATGAAGAAGAATTACCTGACCAGGAGGAACAAAACCTTGGAGACGGAGGTCCAAGAGTTGAAAGACCAGAGGAGAGAGCAAGAGGAAAAGGAAAACCTGGCTCAGAAACAACTGAGCTGGGAGGCAAAAGAGAGAATGGTGGAGGATGAACATCAAGTCCTGCAGGACGGGTTCTTCAAGAGGGCGACTGAGGAAAAGGTCATCCCTTTGCAGAAAATGCAAAGCCAGAAGCCACAGAAGGACAGGGCAAGGGAAGCAAAGACGGAGGAAGCTGAGGCAAGTATAAACGCCACAGAGGTGACGGAAAATATGGAGGCGACGGAGAACTACGGGGAGAGTGTGTGGAGCTGGACGCACCAGAAGTGTGACAGCGACATAGAGTAGGAGGAAGCTTGAGAACAGTAACTCCCTCTTCCTCCTCCCCCCTCCCTCCTAACTCCCTCCTCCATTTCTCCCTCAACCCTCTCCTTTTCTCACATTGGGTTTTGTCCTGGACCCCAGGTTTTCCCGCAATCTATATTCTTGGAATTAGGATTACAAAAAAATAACAGCCAACTTCCTTCTCCATTTACCTCACCTCCTTCCTCCTACATCACCCTCTCTCCCCTTACTTCACCCACCACTCCATCCTCCATTTACCTCACCTACAAACTCCCCCCCTAACTCTACCACCAACCGAAGAGTCGCCAAAGACCCATATTCATAATAAAATGAGGGTCAACAAAACGTAAAGGTTACCTGATTCGTTATTGGCTGATTGTTGCACAACCCACAAAACTGTTGTGACATCACAAAGTGGCCAAATCTGATCTAATTTTCAGGTTTTTATATACTCTGGTGTTTTTATTTAGAAGGTGTATGTATAGATTGTTCTTGGTGTTTTTGTCTCAATATACAGGTTCAATTCCATTTTTTTTTTTTTTTTTTAATGTGTTCATTTCATATAAGCTGTTGAAATCAAAAGGTGTTCATCAGGCTGCAAGCTTTATGTCTTCATCACCTGCAAATTGTGTATGTGCGGCTGTGTCATTGTGGCCTGTTCACATGTGTGTGAATTAAATAGATATTAAGCAGTGACTGATCAATCAGTACATCTCTATTCTCGTTGCAACACTATCATGGTTTATTGTGTACATTCAGGTATTCCTGCAATATAATATAATGTGAATCAGTTGACAATCAAATGCACTCAAACCCCCACCGCTCCCATATTGGGCATGTTGCTGATACTTTAAGGTATTTTTTGCGCTACTTAAACATGCACAAATCCAAGATTACCAAGTTTGCCAACATTACGTGCTAACAGTAGGGAGGAGTGCAAAGTTCCATCACATATAAGAGACCAGAGGCCTGTACTACGAAGCTGGTTCAACCTAACCTGGATATGTTTGAGTTAGCCGGTTGGCCCAATCCAAAACATACGCGCTGGCGCTAAGCTGTACTACGACGCTGGTTATCAAGTGGATCGCTCAAGCCAGCCGTGTCCTATCTAGTTAGGTGCGCGTTCACATGAAAGGGGTGGTATTTGGAGCATTCGACCAATCTCAAACACGGACAAGCGTACTGACAGCGCAGCGTCATACTTCCTGAATGAAAAGTGAACTTTAATATTAGTCAAATATGAAGAAGTTAAACTTTAAACATCCATGACTTAAACACTTTATCCAGGATAAAAGCCACATAGCTGCACCTGCAAGGTGAATACAGCTGGTAAAAGAAAAAGTGTTTGAATGCGTACATTAACAGGTTTATGAAATCACTGCCCCGTCCAAGACACGAGTGGATCTGACTTTAATTAGGAGAATTTGACTCGAGTGTTTCATCAACTTAATGTGTTGCTTAAAATAATACTTCTGCATACAGTATGTGACACTGTGAGTGTTGCACGGCCAGATACGGCTCAAGAAGCTGACTCAAATAAGGAAATATATGATACATTATGATGTGATATGATATGAATGATAATGGGACACATCGACGTCTGCCTCACAGTGCCGCGGACTGTACTTAATGTCCGGTTACTTATATCGTGGCAGATATTTAAGTAAGCTTTCTTAACGCTAATATTATAATAGTCAGATTGCTCTGAAGATGGGAGGGGATATTCTATAAATGTTCACGTTCACACAGTCAGTTGATTTTGGCCGGCCGTCGTTCCTGCAACGGCAGTTTTTCTGTATTTCCTCTATCCTGTAATATGAATTGATCGCTTTAAACTCCGCACACGGAGCTCTGATTGGTCAGCAGGCGGTGCTTTCACTGAGTTGATCTCTTAGCCTGCCACCTAACCTGCTCCGGAGCAGGTTTGCCGCTCAGCATAAGTTACCATGGAAATCTAGCCTGCTAAAAAGAGAACCAGCGTCGTAGGACCGGAAAGCCCGAGATTTCCCTGAAGTTAGCCGGCTAAGCGAAAAATCCAGCTTCGTAGTACAGGCCTCTGGTAACATACACCCATAAACAGCTGATACATACTTGTTTCCTTTCTCTGCATCTCCGTTAACTAAAGGGATCCATTTAGTTTTAATCTGAAGAACAAAAGCAGAGACAGGCAAAAATGCATTAAGTCAATGTTATACGTAGTATGTGGAATGCTTATACAGTAAGTTACAATGTAAACCAAGTATCAGGTTACTACCTTGTCTATCGTGTCCTCGTTGGTGACATCGTACACAACACACACCACATTAGCCTGTGTTGTTGAAGAAAGAACAGGTTTATCAAGAAGAATACATTGAGCTAGAAAACAACTAAGAAAAATATGTGGATGTTTATGTTCCTGGCATGAATGATGTAAATACAAGGCCTTGTAGACAAATAACCTATGTCTTAACAAATTATATCTACAATTATATTCATTTATCTGGCTCCAAGTTGTTATTCTAAATGAGGGAATATCAATAATCATTACCCAATTCAGTCCATTAATTTAAATTGTTCAAACAGATGACATTAGTGCAGTTTGGTGTACTTACCTTGATGATCTCATTTTTAAGGACTTCATCACTCTGTTCTGTTTCTGTTGAGGACAAACAACATTTTTGTAAGTCATAGTCAGAGCAATCCAGTTTGACAAACCGCACACACAAACAGACACAGAGGACTGAGTAATGTTGTTGTTAGCGTTCAGGTCATGTTACCCGAGTAGTCCACTATGTGTGTGGGCACTTTCTCTGGAGTCACGTCAGCAGGGATGGTGATTTCCTCGGCTCTGAGAGGAACCTGTCAGAGATTACATCATGGATAGACTGTCAAACTTCACTAAATCAGGCTACAGCCTCCAATAACACAAACGCCAATACTTTCCATAGACATTCCTACCACAGTACAAAGGAAAGTATGCTTATTTCATCATGCTGCAAAAGCACAGGTAAAAGGTAAAAATCTAGTTTAAAATCAACCCAGTGATTCTAGTCATGAAGGGGATCCTTTTCAAATGTGTTTACATGAAACAATGTAAACAATAACAGTTTGTAATATCATATAGGTTTCCATCTTATCCTGCAAGTACTTTTTTGTAAACATATAGAAAAAGCTGAGCATATTGCTGAGTAAACAGCAAAGGAATTTAAACTTGTAATACCTTGCCCTGCGTGGACATCAACAAGCAACAATTAGTTGTCTTCACTGCACACAAATAAACCAGTTTGCTCTGAAGTGGCTACAATAGAGTAACTGTGGCTATAATAAGCAAATCATATTATAGATATTAGAGAGTCAGCTGGTGTAAATGTCCCTAGTTTTCATGGACATACTCTTCGGTAAAATTGACCTTTAGGTACAGCAGGGATACATAGTTAATCTGACACTTACCTCTTCTGGGAACTCCTCTCCAACCAAAGACATGATGAGTGATGTCTTCCCCACCTTGGCTGTTGGAAATAACCACATGAAGAGAATGAGAGGGGCTCACAGAGGAAGAATACATGATCAAAATTGGCTACAGCACCTACTGTAGAAATAAATGTTCTAGAAAGTTAGCTGACTAGTCCTTATGTTTTCATTTACATAAAAACCCTGATATGGACTGACTAGCTCATTATTCAGTACAGGATCTGAGTACTTCTACTTTTACTAAAGTACAAGGTCTGAGTGCTTCTTCCTACTCTGACTGTTAGTTTAGTAGCAGCCGTTATGTTCATGTTAGCTTACATGTCAATAATCTCAAACTAACGGATAACTCAAATATCAGAAAATTAAATAAACATTACATCTGTTTATTAGGTAATGTATATTTCAGTGGACGGCAGCTGATAATTTAGCAAATAATAATAAAACACGTTTATTAACTTCTCTATGGCAGCTAACTAATAACCGTTCAGAAGTTACTGAGCTAACGCTTAGTTAGCATTGCGGAAATCAGCACTTGGAAAGCGGCCAATTCATAAAAAATATAGAATTTAATAACATAGAATACAGTGGGTGCAGCTATACATATTAGGACAGTTTTTGACACCATGCCACCAGGAGTACCCGAGGTAAATTCAGCGACAAGTTGCCAAGTTAGCTTAAACTGCTAATGTTTGCTAGTCTTTTAGCTTGTGGTTAGCTGTCAGTGAAATGACTCACGTTCCCCCAATAACAGAATCCTGACGTCCTGCTTCATGTTTCCTATCTGTTTGACGAACAGTCCGACACGCTGCGGTGCTACAGTAACATTTATCTTGCATTTGAATGTCAAATTCTAGATGAAATCAAACGTGTGGCTGCTCTCCACAGCGATATGCACCCAAGGTGAAAGCATATCATTCCGGTTCACAGAGAGGAGGCGGGGAAACATGCCCCCTGCTGGGCAAATGGACACCCTGCAGACACTGTTTACACCACATTGTATTTAATGAGGTTTGATTGTTGTCTATAAAACAAATAAAGTATCTATTTATCTATCTATAAACGTACATTTGCACAAGTACTGTACCTCAGTACAATTTTTAGATACTTGTACTTTACTTGAGTATTTTCATTTTATGCTACTTTGTACTTCCATACTACTCCACTACGATTAGGTAAACGTTGTACTTTTACTGCACTACATTTATTTTATACCTTTACAGTAGTTACTTTACAGATTTTGATTAATGATGTGAAATATAATCAACAATTAAAAAATACTTTAGTTACACCTGGAGTAAATTCACAAGCTACCCTGCAGTATACAAAGTTATTAAAACTAGCTGCACCTTTACCAGCTTTGATAACACTTTAATGATCAATCATTATAATCAAAACATATGATACATATTCATTTCTGAAATGGACAAATCTGCAGAATGAGTACGTACACTCTGGTACTTCTACTTTTACTCAAGTACCAGATCTGAGTACTTGTCCCACCTCTGTACATTACACCCAAAATGTTACATAACTAATTACAGCATTATTGGTTAATAATTTGGTGTTTAAATATAAAATAAATGAAGTTGCCAATATTTTGTTTACTTTTTATTTATTTCTATTTTTGAAAAAAAAGAGCAGCGATAAAAAAGATGGACGTCTTATTTAATGTAATTATTACCAAAAATAATGGTGCTCTGCCTGAATCTTTAAGACACAGTCATGTAAGGGATCATCATTTGAGTAATTACTGTTTGAATGACTAGGGCCTTTCCTCATTCAAACCTCTAGTGTTGCTTTAGGAAAAGCAACAGATTGTTAAAATCTGGGTTTATTATAGTGTCTATTCCTCAGGGAGATCACAAGGAGACGGAGTTATGTGTATTAAATAACAATCTCATAGCACAGATAAGAGAATAAATAGACAGGATAATTTAAGCCCTCACAAATGATGTTTATTATAGTGCCAGAAACAATGACTATGGCAGCCTCCCCCCTTGTATGTGTGTGTGCACCATCCAATCATTGTGAAAGTCATCTTGCATTATGGTTTTTTATTTTGCATGCTGCTTTTTATTTAAACCCCATACCATCCTTCAGCAGCCCACAAACCATAATTCTATCTACAACTGAAAAACAATAGAAATAACAGCAACGTATCATTATACAAATCTTAAATTTACAGTAAGAAAACCTTAAAGAAATTGTCAAAAATGACAAGAAACTGGACATACAAATCAATCTCTTAAAAATTGTAATATAAAACCATACACGTAAAAAATAAATCTATGTGGCATATCTACAAAAAACCTCTCCACAAATTATAGCTCGACTTGATAAGAAATAAATAAATATGGAACAATAAAACTACAGAAAAATCCCATTTCAACTAGGCACCTGGGAAAGAGGGTACACCTAAAAGTGTTAGAGGGTGAAAAAGGCCCTCAGAGGTCCTGCACCTCCCACAGCAGGATCTCATTATAAGCTACAGTGAAGAGGAGCTTCCCTGAAGGCGAGAAGCGACACGTCTGCAGCGAGTCGCTGTGCTGCAGGAAGTCCTGGAACCTGCCGCTGGACGACTTGATCAGCTTCAACACCCGCCCTGATAAGAGATTAGATATATAGTGAGACATCAAAACGTACCCTTCTTTAATATAACACATTACTGGAACCATATGGTGACACATCATTAAAAAAGTTCACCTTTTGATCCCACAGCTATGAGTTGGCTGTGACAGGAGAGGCTTAAGCATGTGGCCCAGTCGGGAAGGGCAATCGTTTTGATTATCTGTAGTAAAAGAAATATCATTTTATAAGAGGTAACACACATGTCTTCCCTCTACAGTGACAGGAAACATCACACACAGTGGTAGAGGAGAGAAGCAGGGGGAGCTGTTGTACCTGTTTCTTTGCCAGGCTGTAGAACGACAGCTCTTTCTCCACTCCATAGCCGGTGTAGACCACCAGGCCGGGGTCTGCGGGGCAGAAGGCAGCCAGGCTGGGAGGTGGGCTGTCATCCTATTGCATCAAACATTTACAGATGTACATGTATTAGATGTGCAAAGGTCAAACTTAGACTGAGCTTCATTCGGTAGAAATATCCTAAATACACTGCAACAAAATGCTGAAAGAACGCTGAAAAGAACGCTGAAAAAAACGCTGAAATCTCAAAAGACACCTAGAATTTAGAATAAAATAGGCTGTTAAATGCACATGTGTTAGGTTCGAAGGGCTGAGCCTGTCACTTTCCTGAGCTAAGACCCCAAATCAAGAAGCTCATTTAATTGAATCCTGTGAAATGACAAATAACATTAGATTCAGCAAAGACAGTCCTGAGTATTGAATGAATAAAAGGGTTTGGGGTTGAATAACAGCCTTCAAAATACATGTTAATAAGTCATAATGAAGGCTAATATGAATTTATTTTAGATGGAAGATAAGAGTATCTTTCAACATTTGGAGGTACATTTTTTTTCATTACCATGTACTACTACTTAAAATACAAACTGTACCCCGATATAGGCGGGAGCAGGAAATGTCAGCCAGTCAAGTAGATCACATTTGTCATTCAGCCAATCAGCAGCCCACACACTGACGCGTCTGTCAGCACTGGCAGCCAACCACATCTCCTTTCCTTCGAGTTCGAGATTCTTACACTGAGGATTAGGAGATAAAACAGGCGTCAGTTCAAACTAATGAAAAATATCAGAAAATGGCTACAAAGAAAATCAGAGCACACATGTGAATCAATGTCAGACAATCATTTGTATAGGATGAAAGCAGGAAACATGTCAAGAGCACTTGTACTCGAGGAGCCAGGTGCCACTTCATTCTCCAACATACAATATCTGATCAATTGAAGTGCATATGAAAAGATCTTCAATGCCTCTCAAATAGAAAATCAGGCTGCTATTGATTTAAAATTCTGCATGAAAGCCACAATAATAAATTTGTATTTATTTTAAATCGTTTATTTGGCAGAGACAATGCACAGTAATGAACACTTAAAACATTAAAATGTGTCAAGCGTAACAGTGCCAGATTTAGCTTTGAGCTAAATTCCATCCGCAGTCCCTCACATAAAACATTTAAGAAAATTACATTTTACAAACATAGCAAAAACAAAATACATGATATGCAAAAAGTGCAAAAGAGCAATACACAAGTATTTATGATATGGTAATACAATATAGCAGCAACGACAAATGACCAATGGCACTTTTATATAAAGTGATCATACAGTATAAAACCAGTAGTGTAGTGTTTAAACGATAGGTGCAGAAAAAAAACTGTGAACTCTCAGGATCATATTTCCTATTCGATTGACTTGTATCCAATCGGAGGCCATTCTAACCTCCCTCTGTGTTCCTGATGGCTGCCATGTTGAGCAATGTTCAAGCTTTATTACTTGCTCTCATTCAGTGCGCTCACCTGTTCATTCACACACTGGATGGTGGTAATCGGGGCTCCTTTGTGATCCCGGATTATACGAATAGTCGCTCCATTCATCGGGCTGCTGACAGCCACCAGACCATTCTTCCCCGCTGAAAGGATCACATGACCTGTAGAGGGGTTCGGGTTATTAGCTTCAAATAAGCCAAACCATGTTAAGAGCTAGTGCAATAGTTTGAAATCAGTCAAGTACGACAATATTGTATTTATTATTTGTGTTAATTGACCAAGGTGAAGTGGAAAAGGGCGGTTTTCACTCTGTAGGTGCATGGCTCTTCTCTCAAAAGTGTTAAAAGGGCATGTAAGATTAACAGAGACAAGGAAGACTAAGGCAAAGACAGTTACAACAGTTACAGCATTTCATCACGAAGTTACTCCTCAAAAGTCAGTAGCACAATCATCAAAATAAATAAATAAATACATTAAATACAGTACAGTAAATTCTCACCGTCAGCTGAGTACTGGATGGCAGTGACGGCCACTTGATGAGGATGCAGCTTCATCTCCATCTCTGAGGAGGAAAGCCTGAAGATCCTCAGAGTCCCATCGCTGTATCCTCCAGCCACACATGCACTCTCTGTGCTGGAAGAAGGGCTCCAGCACACGCAGCCACAGGCCTGATGCACAGAGAGGAACAGGGGGGCAATATTTGAATAATGTTATGATCAAATCAGAATATATTTTTGTTTCACCACAATATTGAAATGTGCTATGGAGTAGAAACAATGGGAGACCGCCAATCAGTGTAATTCATTCACTTAATATAACTCTCTACCTGAGAGATCATTGAGAGGGGCAACCCCCATTTTAAAAATAAAGGGAAAGGAAAAAAACAAGACGATAACCAAACAGAGGAAAGGCAAAAACTATTATACAAATATTTGAAAAAAAGTAAAATAAATTAAATTAGGGAAAAGGATTTCCTAGAGACATTCATATATTTAAGAAGAAATAAAATACAATATGTAAAACAAAAGCCTAGAAATGTGCAATAAGGATAGAAAATGTGCAATATAAAATACAGATATGTAAAACAATAAGGTCATATTTAAATCTATTTTCCAGAAAGGGCTTTAGAGATAAAAATAGAGAGGACACACAACACTATCATAGCACTATTCTTCTGTTATATTTGTCTTTTTTGTAAAATGCCCCGATATTCTCCAACTTCACCATCAGATGTACAGTCTCAGATCCTCCATGGAGGTGCCCATTAAAAAGCAACAAGCTCCCTCCATACATTACATTAACTCAGAATACTTCCCCACCTGGTTGAGCACCTGGAACTGCACCACCAGCTCGTTGCTAGGCGCCGACCACACCCTCACACTGCCGTCCTCGCTGCAGGTGGCAAACTGTCTCTCGTCAGAGCTGAACACCACATCATTCACCTGGACGACCACACACACACTCATTGATACCGCATGAAATGTGTCTGTGGAAGAATATGTGTTGTTGAGGTAATACTAGGTGGTTGTTATCTCTGAAGTGCTTTTACA